CTCTCTCTCTCTCACACACACACACACACACACACACAGACCTCAAGAAAGACGGAGACAAATAAAAGCTCATGGCGCACCCTCTGTAGAGGGCATCACAAGAGGACACACACTCACAGATGACTTTCAGGACAGAACCTTCACTGAGGACACTGAAACACACCGTCTCACACACAAATGGACAGAGAGAGAGAGACAGGAGAAAAATCTGTTTCGAAATTAGATTAGCAGAGGACAAAAGCAGCGAGATGTTTGACATAAAAGGGCTAAAGAGAGAGAGAGAGAAGTAAAAGGCAGATGATGAAATATGAAGCAAAGCATGACATTTAAAGGGATCGTTCACTTTCTTTCTTCAGATGAACACATTTTTTAGAAAAATAATCCATCTTTGTGAGTATGTTACACAAATCCCAATGTTGACGCTCCATAAAGCAACCAGCCACATGATGGCAATCCACACTCACTCACTTCATTTGATACATTTCTTAGAAAACAACACTTCATATCTTCATTTTGCAAGTAATAATGGAGTTTTGATATTTGTTCCGGAAAACAAGACACAAATACTGAGATACATTTATTGACTTTATTAATTTTTAGACTTTCTGCTCTGATTTGACACCTTTTTAAGGCTTTAATCTGTGCAATGGTGATTAAGGCTTTTTAAGACCTGCAAAAACCAAGCATTTGAGACTTGCATTAAACAGACTCTCAGAGATGGATTATTTTTCTAAAAAATCATTGTGTTCATCTGAAGAAAGAAAGTCATATACATCTGGGATGATGAGAGAATATTTGGTCATTTTTGGAAAGACTATGGTTTAAAGCCACACATGCATCATCTTCAGGACTGTACCAGCATCTGCGCTCATGCTCGTCACCGTGGAGACAGAGGTCCACCAGTCCACAGGGGCCGCGGCAGTGGGGCCCACCGATGAAGACGAGGATGAGGATGAAGAGGTGTCTGCACGAGGCATCCAGTGTGCCGAGTCCCACTGTGGAGGGGTGTTTGTCAGGACGACCCGCGGCGTGCCGGACTGCGCTGACACCGTTCTGTTATCGGCCATCATCGGGCCGGGGTCGGTGCTGTTAAAGGGCCCGTCGGTCGCTATGGACACAGAAGATCCAGCATCCAGCAGGCCATTCCCAAATAAACCTGGACAAAGACGGAAAACCAGAGTCGATGAACCAGAGTTCAACAGCAACAGGTGAAGAAGTGAAGATTTTTAAACACACACACAATCACACACTCACACACACACACACACTCACACTCACACTCACACTCACACACTCACACACACTCACACACACACACTCACACTCACACACACACACACACACACACACACACACACACACACACACACACACACACACA